ATAAAATATTTGGGAAAAAAAGTGATGCGTTTTCCATGGCGCTCAGTAATATAACGGTATCTACTTAAAATGATCATTTAAATACTTAACTTCATTATTCTTTTATTATCATTTCTTTTTTTTATACCGGAATAGTATTATTAAATTTACATTAGCACTATTAGATGTCGATCTACGGCTGTTTTTATTAATAATTTGTTTAGTGAAGCCGAATGATAAAATCGCGTTAAGTCTACCAACTACCAAGCGTCGATCGAGATTTTGCCGTGGGTAACAAATCTCCGTAAAATCAAATAGCCCAGTGACGTGTAGTATAGATCAAATGGCTTGCTATGTGTTGAAAATTATTCGTTTAACGGCAATGTATATGAGTAATATGAAAAAACTAATGATGAGAGATTTCATTTAGATTAGATCTACTTGCGCAACACATCAACGCAAATGTCTAGCCTAGACTAGTGCAGATCACGTCAGTCAGTTCTAAATTCTACGTCGCTTGGCCTAGACTCGTGTATTCTGAGCGGACTGACACAATCATGCAGCTGGTCCAGCTAGTTTTAATAGTTAAAGCGAGAATTTCATATTTTCTAAGAAAGTCAAAACATAATTATTTCTATATCTTTTGCTCAATAGGCTGTCAACTCACTATTATAGGATCATAGGTATCATTATGACGCTTATAAAATCATTCACACCGGAAATAATAACACAATTACCACCTTTGTTTTTCTCCCCCCCCCCATGGAAAAACTATCTTCAAACGTTTGAATTTGAAGTTGAAAATGATATTTTGGCCAATTTCTCAACTGGCAGTAGTGAATTATAGGAATAATAGGATTATTCTGTAACTTAAAAATATAACTTAAAAATATGATATTCACTCGGCACATCTGCAGTCTGAGTCTGTGTTTTGAAATGAACGTCGCCACTTACACCGCGGTCGTCAACGAAGTCCATGCCTACCTTACCGGTAATCAAATTCGAGGGGCTTTCATATTCAACTTAATAATAATAGTCCCTGTTACTACATGATGTATGTATAGATGCGCGTGTTTTACATACATGTAAATATAGTTGGTGTTTTTGTTGTTTTATAGCCAATGATAATGCTGTAGCGTAGGTAGCCTAATGTTTTGTTTGTATACTGTCTCTAATAGCCTAATGGGGTGTTAAGATACAATATAATTTTATCTGATCTTATATTAGCCTTAGAAGAAGCAATTGACGATTTTTATATCCCTTCCACATACCCAGTTGAGAGTTAAAATAATAGAACTTACCTTCGGCACGAACCAAAAAACCAATATGGCGTCCCAGAAGCATCTTTCGCGGCAACATTAGAGTCACGTTATCAGTATCCGCGGGAAAAAACCCCGCTAGTGTTACCAGATAATTTACTGAAGAATTAACCGGAATATTTGTCAGCTTCTAGTTGTTTTACAATAAGCCTTAATTAAAATGTATTATAGCTTGTATTGTGTTATTCAATCTCGATCTACGTCGTTAACCAATACAACTGTACCCAAGATCATACGTCAATTTCTATAGATAAGCGCATTGCAATTCCTGTTTTAGGCCCGTATTATGCACTGAATTTGTGTAGCAAACGCTGCACACTACACAATATGCATTAATCACCATTTTCTGTGCTTTGTGTTATTATTTCAATTGCAAAACACCGAATGTAAAAACAGCGACATTTAGGTGCGGGAGAGGCATCTCGTTTACAGTTCATAATACATTTTGTATAATACATGACGGACGTAAACGCCTTTTCTTGCTTTCCCAACCCGTGTGCTCAGCAACATGAAAGCAGGCCAGTATTGCCTATTTATTACACCAATAACTTTAATGCATTAAAGGAAATTATGATTTCCGAAAAATTATAAAGCAAATAAATGATCGATGTCGCACACCGCCGAGTGGGACCCGACGAAATGTTTTAATCCGCAATCAATGCAGTACAAATTCGCCGTGTTCAATGACAAGAAAGTGAAAATGTTATATTATACTTAAAAGTCATCGAATTTGGGGCCCTTTATTTTACTGACAAGAAAGCAAAATATTTTCTTCCAAATAACATTCTGAAAGTTCCGCTTTCACTTTCTCTCGGGATTTTGAATGTGACTTTTTACCTAAATTGCTGCCGGGAACAGGGAATGTCAGGCAATGTCATGACCTTGACTCAGGTTACAACCCCAAAAATGACCTTGCGGGTGCGGGTCACGACTTTGACCTTGACATTTATTAGCGAAAGTCTGGGTGGTACATGAAGTTTTGGGACTTTTTCGATCCCAAGGTCAAGGGTCAGGTCAAAGGTCAAGGCCCCATTCGAAAGGTCAATGAGTTGCCTATCCATGGTCATGACCTTTGATTTGCCGCGCAGACCCGGGGCCTCACCATGTGCCCGGGAGCATCCGACTCAGTAGATATTTTGGTGACCTTGACCCTTTCAGATGACCTTGACCTACCGTGGTCATGTGGACCAAGATGACATTTTGGAAGGTCAAGGTCCAGTGGTCCTGACTTTATTAGATGGGCCTCTAGGGTTCAAAAACCAAAATACTTCCGGGGCCCCTAGCGGGTCAAGGTCACGACTTTTGGTTGCCGATTTTAAAAAATGAAGAACAAATGTTGGGTCAGTCTATCGGGTCACCAAATCCCGGGGCGATTGGAAGACATTTTTTGGGCAAATTTCCCTAGAAAGTGAAATAGCTGAGTATTACAGCGGTGTGGTCTAAGGGCAGATAACTCGCCCATCACAAATCGGATCCGACGACCTTGAGGTCGTGGCTATTTAAACTAAATTGACCCCTGGGAGTCTCGTGGTGACCTTGGTTTGACAATCAGAGGTCAAGGTTCGAACTTCTATATATGACGTTTCGATAACGTTATGACAACGTTGTGACAACGTTTTAACAACGTTGTCACAACAATCTGTATATGACGTTTTGATAACGTTGTGACAACGTTGTGACAACAACCTATGACGTTTTGATAACGTTTTGAAGACGTTGTGACAACGTTGTAACAACGCCGTGACAACAACCTGTATATGACGTTTTGATAACGTTGTGACAACGTTGTGACAACAACCTGTATATGACGTTTGAATAACGTTTTGATGACGTTGTGACAACGTTGTGACAACAACCTGTATATGACGTTTTGATAACGTTTTGAAGACGTTGTTACAACGTTGTGACAACGTTGTAACAACGTTGTAATAACGCCGTGACAACAACCTGTATATGACGTTTTGATAACGTTGTCACAACAATCTGTATATGACGTTTTGATAACGTTGTGACAACGTTGTGACAACAACCTATGACGTTTTGATAACGTTTTGAAGACGTTGTGACAACGTTGTAACAACGCCGTGACAACAACCTGTATATGACGTTTTGATAACGTTGTGACAACGTTGTGACAACAACCTGTATATGACGTTTGAATAACGTTTTGATGACGTTGTGACAACGTTGTGACAACAACCTGTATATGACGTTTTGATAACGTTTTGAAGACGTTGTTACAACGTTGTGACAACGTTGTAACAACGTTGTAATAACGCCGTGACAACAACCTGTATATGACGTTTTGATAACGTTGTGACAACAACCTGTATATGACGTTAGAATAACGTTTTAATGACGTTGTGGCAACGTTGTGACAACGATGTGACAACAACCTGTATATGACGTTTTGATGACGTTGTGACAACGTTGTGTCAACAACCTGTATATGACGTAAATACAACGTCGAATATTGGTCGAAAACACGTTGTACAACGTCACGACCAATATTGACGTTGTCACAATGTTGTAACAACGTTGCGTGCCCGCTGGGTAATATCAACGAATACAATAACTTCCTTAAGTAACAACAGGAGTTAAAACATAAAATCCTAACTAGCACAACAACTATGAAAGATCACATAGATTTCAGAAAAAATAGCCTATGTAATGGTTTATAAAGACTGTTGTTAGTATGTAATTTTAATTGCACAACCGATGAGTACGACCGTATTTAAAAAAAACCGGACTGGCTTTAATGAAAAATGGAAAGGGAATTATTATTACTTTATTAAGATGTATAACTATGATCGAAGGTGTAAAATCACCTGAAACAACAACTTAAAGAGTCACGAGTAGCTAAATCGTTTAAGTCCCCATATTGGTTGGAATACTTGTAATAGGCTAAACCTATTTTGTCTCTGCCCGGTCACCCCCGACTCCCCACCCACAAGATTTATTGTGTTGTTCCGTAAAAATACTGCTTTTTACGGATCATTAAGAATTCCGATGTTTCCCTCTCCTTAATTAACCAACCAAAATTAAGTCCTGCAGAAAGGGGAATTCTTATTATCAGAGATAAATTATTATACCGTAGCCAAGCTGCTGGCTGCGGAGGGGCGTTGGACTTTTAGGGGGGCAGGGGTGTTCTTCCCCCCCGTACGACAAATAACAATACCGCTACCTGTCAACCACAAATAATATTCCGGCTTTCGGGTTATGGAAACATTTCTGATATCAACTACCTAATAATTCAAAACTCATCGAAAAAATGCCACTATGCGTTTTGGGAAATGGGTCTTCATTATTTCTTTTTCTAACAAATATAAAAAAGACTGGGCCATTGGGCAAGTCAGTACAAAATATATGGCAGATAGATGTCAGAACATAACCAAAAGGCTAATATGAGACTAGGTGCAAGATGCCACGTCCCCAAGTCAATACTCTACATGATGATCCATGACTGCTGTCTATTACAAACAGTAGGTATTTTTAGTACCATGGTCGGCAATTTTCTTCGGGGGCCACTGCTCCCCTTGCCCTCGGCTGGCTACGGAGCTGGTATTTAGCAATTTACAGACTTATGATTCATAAATACAACAAAAGTTTGTAAGTTATGTCAGTCACCCCTTTCAAACTTTTTTTCTTTTATTTTCAAATATGTACAGAGATCCAAATTATTTTATAAATCATTTCGTTTAGAAAGAACATTAGAATGGCAATAGCTGCGTCGACTGGGAATGGGAATACAGCTTGGATGAGTAAGTTACCAGAACCGATAAGCAACTTACCGTTATACTACTTGGCGATTCCAGGTAAATATATATTTACGTTTATGAATATTAAGATCGGACTGCCAGGTATCTGTGTGGCAGGAACCCCTGTTGGGTCATCTTTCTGAATGTTAGTATGCAGCAGAGGATCAATTCAGTTATGAATTCTATTGGAATTTTTTGTTTGCAAACAATTAAAGAGAACGAAACAGTAGTTTGAACTAGCAAATTTTATTGTCTTCGTACTAGATCATCATGTAAACATAACCATTAAAATAACCAGAAATGGACAAAACTGGCTATCGGACAATCATCAAGTACTTGTAACTGAAAGGACTAACTCTAACACAGATGCCTCTTCCTTTTCCACAGTAAAGACGTGGGCTGTGGAATTTAAGCGTGGTAGAGAGCCTTGACGATGACCCGCGTCCTGGAAAGCCATCAACAGCAACCATTCAAGAAACATTACCCGGATGCTTGACATGGTGATGGCCGATCGACAATTGACCACTCGACATATTGCCAGTGTTGTCATGAGAGGGTTGAGCCAGAGGCGGATTACCCCATAGGAAGTGTAGGCAGCTGCCTAGGGCCCAAGAAAAAATAGGGCTCATAAAATATTTGACGACCTTTTTAAATTTGACGAACCTCACTCGGTTGTGTCGGCCGTTCACTATGAGGGAAGAAGCCCACACAGTCAGTGACACCATAGCACTCGAGATGAGCTTTAGTGTAATCGATCACTCCAACTGGGAGACTGGTCACTTGCTCGCCTTGCATTAGCCTGACATCTGGTTTCGCTTTCATTTTAAAAAAGTGTTTGCGATTTTCTCATGAAATTTATCTTTCTTTCATTACTTGAAGGCCGCCTCATTTCGGCGTTGGTTGGTTCGCCGTTTATATGGCCCAAAAGCAAATGTGTGGATGGGAGAAGAGAGAACAGAAAAAACATGAAGCTAAAATGCTGGAAAAAAAGCGGCAAACTAAGCGGTCTTAGTTTTACTACGGCAAACCAGTTCCGCAAAGGGCCCAGCTGGTCGAGCTGCCTAGGGCCCATCAGAGCCTTGATCCGCCTCTGGGTTGAGCACATTATCGCCAACGAGTTAGGTTGACAATAGTTTCTGCAAGATGGGTGCCAAAGCTCTTGACTGGATCAGAAATGTGTCAGATTCTTGACGTCCCGTATCTGCGCCATTTTGAAGCAGATCCTGATAATCTTTTGGCCAGATTTGTAACCATGGATGACACCTCTATTCATCACTTTCAACCAGCATCCAAAATTCAGTATAAACAATGGAAGCATCCAGGGGCACCAGCCCCCCAGAAAGCCAAGTTAGTTCCTTCTGTTGGAAAGGTAGCTTCAGTCTTTTGAGATTCCAAGGTATTCTGATGATTTGAGTATCTTGTAAAGATATTATGCTGAAAAGGTGTGAAACTATCAAAGCTACCAGGGGTGCTCACTAAAGGCGCCCTGTTCCACCAAGACAATGCCCCTGCTCATAAATCGGTGACTGCCATATCAATGATCCATGATTGTGACTTCAAACTCATTGACCATCCCCGTCAGACCTCCACCTGTTTCCAAAAATGAAAAAGGAACTTGACGGTCGTCATTTTCCTAGTAATGATGACGTCATGTCAGCTGTGAACGACTTTTTTGTGGTGACTGAAGAAAATTTCTTCCTGGCCAGCACCCAGGCCTTGCAACATCATTGGCAAAAGGGTGTATGAAAGAGGCTATGTAGAAAATTAAATGTAACCCATCGACTTTGTACAGGTCTTTCACAGACACACCTAGTCTTAGAACTTTTCAACCAATCCTCGTACAAAAGGTTTGAGGCCTGGAATTAGTAAATATGTGATCGGGGCCCCCTAAAAAGGAACTCTTAAATTATGCATTTCGAGACACTACCATGGGGCGCTGTTCACATTGCCGCCAACATTGGTTTTGTAACACATCTCAAGTACATCAACGGAACCTGTGTCAAAATATTCCTTAGGATCCCCAATGGCAATATAAATCCCTCGGAGTGGTCAATTTTGGGGATTAACCCACTTCTGAGTAGGTCAAAGGTCACATCGGTCGGCCACGCCCAATCTACCTTAAATGCAAATCTCAGTAAAAGCATGAAATGGGTATTAAACTGTTAAGGGCCCCCCCGGGACACTTCTAAGAAGGTCAATGGTCACCATTGGTCAGCCACGCCAAGTCCACTTTAAATGCATACGTCAGTTACATACCTTCAGTACAAGTACAAAATCGATACCAAACTGTTCATTGTGATCCCGCTGGTGTAACATAAATCCTCCAAATTAGTCAGTTTTGGGGATTAGCCGAGTTCTGAGCAGGTACCATTGATCGACAACGCCCAATACATGCATATCTCAGTAAATACCTTCAGTACAAACACACATTAGGTATCAAACTGTTTCTGGCGATCCCCTGAGTATTGTGAGTTCTTTTGAGTTGTTAGTTTTGGAGATTCTGAGGGTTACCATGAGTTGGTTCTGCTAAGTTGCACATTTCATGCAGCATACAGGTGTCAAACTGATCCTTGGAACCCACCGAGGAAATTATGAATCCAGTCGAGTTGTCAATGTCAGCGGTTAACCCCCTTCTGAGTAGGTCAAAAGTCCTTGTATTGCAAACACATGGTAGCGTTCATGAAATATACAGACATGATAGGTGTCAAAATGACAATCTGGCGATATTGTATAAATGCAAGTCGGGCGCTGTGACGTACCAAACTTCCGTGTTTTCAGTCATAAAAAAGCTGAAACAAAGGTCTTATACTGATATATGGTCCCCAGTTACAGAACTACAGAATGACAAAAGACCAAGGCTAGAGACATGTGGCAGGAACTGTGAAATAGAAACCTACCCAGAGTTATTAATTCCCGAAATTGACAACTCAGAAGGACTCATTTTTGTACAGCGAGTCCCAAGGTAACCTTTGTACTACCCAGTACCGGGTTACTCTCTAAGCTGACAACTCAGAAGAATACATAATGTGTCATAGACAGTCATCAGGAACAGTTTGACACGTTTTGTGCTTGTTCTGGAGAAGTGCATTACAGGTCGAATGAGCGGGGACGACCAGTGGTGACATAATTTAACCATCTCAGAAGACTTCATGTTGCCAAGGGGATCCCAAGGAACTGTTTGATACCTAATTTGTGCTTGTACTGAAGGCATGTACTGAGATATGCATTGAAGGTATATTGGGCATGCTCCGACAAATGCTGTCCTTTGGCCTACTCAGAAGTACTTTAATCTCCAAAATTGTCTACTCGTGAGGATTTATATTTCCCAAGCGTGGTCGCAAGGAATAGTTTGATACCTATTTTGTGCTTGTACTGAAGGTATATTTTGAGATATGCATTGGGTGTGGCCGACCAATGATGACCTTTGACCTACTAGAAGTGGGTCAATCTCCGAAATTGACCACTCAGAAGGATTCATAATGCCCTACTCCTAGGGTGTCACAAGAAATAGTTTGATATCAATTTTGTGCTTGTTCTGAGATTTCCATTTAAGGTAGCTAGATTTGGCCTGGCCGACCAATCATGACCTTTGACCTACCCAGAAGTGGGTCAATCCAAAAAAGTTACTACTAAGAAGAATTTATATAGACATTAGGGTTCCTAAGGAACATTTTGACATAGGTTTTGTGGATGTACTTGAGATGTGTTACAAAACCAATTTAAGTGGTACTGTGAATAGTGGCCCTGGCAGTGTCCCCAAAATCATAACTTGAGAGAGAGAGAGAGAGAGGGGGGGGGGGTTTAACGTCCACTCGACACATACTAGGTCATCTGCAGGTCTAACACATTTCAACAATTCGCTTGCGCGTAGGGGTCTTTAGCAGTGGGAGGAAACCGGAGAACCCGGAGAAAACCCACGAGGTTCGATAGGCGACCCTACTCCTTTTCACGAACGACCGGCGAATGGAAACCACGCCAGTTGATACAGCGCGCACGTGCTAACCATTCAGCCATCCAACCCCCCGCATAACTTAAGAGTTGCGTTTTTGAAAGTTCCGATCATATTTACTAATTTCACTTATCAAACCTTTTGTACTCGAGATGTTAATTAAATCTTAGTTAGCTCCTGGACCAGGGGATGTATTGTGCCGGAAATATGATTTATAATCCAAATGATTGCAAAAAGGGAAAACAAGGAAAGAATGACATTGGCAGAAATTTTATGTTTAGACTTTATTAGAATTTATCAGTCAAATGGAAAGTACATCAATATTTTGTTCAATTTTATCACTCGGTTTTTTACTACACTTCATCTTACACACTGGGCCCTGTTTCTCGAAATCCTAACTAAAGATAAAATTCAATTTTAGAGATACTTCAATGTTGATTGGCTAAGCACTAAAATCAATCTAATATTATCTAATCAAATTACTAAAATTTGGATTTTTATCTTAGTTAAAATTTCGTGAAACAGGTCCCGGATCAGCAGTGAATATTAGCATATAAGGCCGCTACAATCACTGAGAGGGATGACCTCGGTGAGGCTTAATGAGCTCCTGATATTGACTTTTTTCCATCAGCAAATTAAATTCTGAAACATTTTTTTAAGTATTAGAAAAATAAATAAAGATAAATAAAGGTGTTTGAAGTATATTTCCCTATAGTATAAATGGGTATATAAAATGGGTAAAAGGCACCAATCTGCCTGCAACAGTTATAGAAACAACGTCTTATTTAAACAATGCACGCGCCATAGTACCCATGATGGACGCCGCGTGGACGTCACTTGCAGAATGTATACTTGAATTTATAAAGGTCAGTCATATAATACAGTGGTATAAGAAGATCTGCAACCGTGCCACATGAAATGTGTTGTAACCAGATATCTCAGAAACCGCTAACCGGAAGTGGTCTAAATTTTAGCTACTCTGATTATGGATATCGGTTCATAATTGCGGTCTGTAGCCGTGCCACATGAAATGTGTGATAACCTGATATCTCGGAAACCGCTAACTGGAAGTGGTCGAAACATTGGCTACTTTGAGATATTTTTAACGTAATCATAATCGGTAAGTTTCATAGATATAGGTTGATAATTGCGGTCTGCAGTCGTGCCACATGAAATTTATGGTAACCAGATATCTCGGAAACCGCTAACCGGAAGTGGTCGAAATTATTATTAATGTTATTATAATCTGTGAGTTTGATTGAAATCGGCTGATTATTGCGGACTGTAGCCGTGCCACATGAAATGTGTGGTAACCCCATATCTCGGATAGATCGAACCCGAAGTGGCCGAAAGTTTGGCTACTCAGAGATATTATCAATGTTATCATAATCTGTAAGTTTCATTGAAATCGGGTAATAATTGTAGTCGTGAAATTCTTGCTTACCACATATGACAAATAGCCTTTTTTGAAATCCTGTCTGTAGATTTAAAATAGAGTGACTATCCAATAACATCTGGCTTTATTTACATTTATAATCTGCCTAATATTCCAGGGATTTTAACTTTATTACAGGATCCCACAATTCATTTTCGGCCGATTTAGACCGAACACAGGATGTGTCTATAGACGAACCAGGTGCCATCAAATTTCTAGGCAAAATAGGTGGCAAAGGTATAATATATAACTGGGGCAAATGCCAGACTTTGTCTATTAAAGAACAGCTTGAAGCCGGTATTCGATATCTGGATCTGAGAATTTGCCGCAATCCTAAGTCAAAACAGTTGACTTTTCTTCATGGTTTGTATGGTCGACCAGTAAAGGAGCTGATAGCAAACGTACAAAGCTTCCTGGAGGTTTATTCCAAGGAAGTAATTCTGATAGACGTCAACCATCTATACGGCTGTTCGGCGGATGACGTACTTCGTGTGTTTGTTTCTAAGATGGACGAAAAACTCTTGAGCAAAGATCGTTTGGCAGATTCATCCCAACCGCCATCTTTGAGCAACATTTGGAACAGTAAATATGGGACTCCCAGGGTGATATTATTCCTCCACAATCATGCTTGTGGATTCGACAACCTACGAATATACTCGCCATGGCATAACACAGATAAACATGAAACGTTGTTCCAAAAGCTCGACTCCCAGAAAAATAATAATAATTGTTTCAACGTTTCACAAGGTGTATTAACACCGCAGACGAAAACCATCTTAACAAACCATTCCCTGAAAACGTTTGTGGACAACACTGGAATAAATTCTCGGTTTATGGAATGGCTAAAGAAAAAGAAGAGCGGTCATGAGAGTGGAATTAACATATGTATATGTGATTTTATTGAGTGTAATTCTTATATTGATACAGTTATAGGAATGAATACCGAATCTTGAATACGAGTCCTTATTTGGTAAAAAAACATAAGGCGACAACCCGACATCACAACATTTCAACCCGACATCACGATATTTTAACCCGACTTTTCACCCGACACCACGACATTAAAATGTCGTAATGTCGCGTAAAAATGTCGTATTGTCGGGTTAAAATGTCCTGATGTCGGATTATCGTAATGTCGTGTTGTCGTGTGTCGGGTTATCTGCCATTTTCCTCTCTATACTATGATTATGTACACTGATCCTGGTCTTGGTCAAAAACGTTCCCTGGCATTTTGCAGCGCGGCTACTCCATGTCGGTAGTGCAGAACAAAGGGCCTGGCAAAGAACTGTGTCTAGTATTGTAGATGGGACAAAAAAGCAAGCTACTCTGTACACGCTATGCAAAGTGATATTACGGAAATTTTCAATGGACCGTGACATTTCCTCATCGAATTTCAACTGAGAAGGATTCTTTTATGTATACGCCAATGTGTACACAGTAACTTGTTTGGGTTTTTTCCCATCTACAATACCAGGGAACTTTCTTGACCAACACCCCACACCAGGATCAGTGTACATAATCATAGTATTGAGAGGAAAATGGCCGATAACCCGACGCCACGACATTACGACAACTCGACACCATGACTTCACGACGATTTAACCCGACAATACGACATTTTTACGCGACATTACGACATTTTTAATGTCGTGGTGTCGGATGAAGATGTCGTGTTGTCGGGTGAAAATGTCGTATTGTGGGGTGAAAATGTCGTTATGTCGGGTTGTCGTGGTGTCGGGTTAAAATGTCGTGATGTCGGGTTGTCGCCTTATGAAGTGCGACACCATAACATCACGACATGATACCAATCAGCCACCATAGTTATCTCCCTTTTATTATCGAAGATAATAGAATTTCAACTGTCTGCTTCGGGATATATTGTAGGTGGCAGACTGTTGAAATTCTGTCGTTATCATATATGGCTACATGAACATGTGGGTGTATAAAAATAAATCTGTTTAAAATTAAATATTTATTTCCTACATGAAATATAAAAGTTAATTCAAATTGAAACTAATTAATAATTCACCGTAACAATGGCTATGGCATAGGTAAATTAGAATGTTACATGGGAACAGCTTTGTACATTTTCATATATACTATTCAAAAAAAGTAGGGGATATTTGATTTTGGGGGCATAATACTAAAATATGCAAATGACTACGAAAAAAGTCACTATAGAACCTAACAGAAGAAACATTTCCAGTTACATGTGACGCCCAAACGCACCAATAGCTACCGCATGGAATGCAGGTGATGCTTGGGATCATCATGGGGGTCCAACCCAAGATTTGCACGACTCTGACTTTGAATGTTACAGTCATTGTGGCATTGAATTCCAGGGTGGAAACATCAGTTTAATTGTTTTAGTGACCAGAAAACAAATTGTGATATGCGTCGGCTTACCCAAAATGAAAGGTTACGTGCCCTTGGCATGCTACAGATCGGCACAACACAGGCGGTTGTGGCGCGGACGATGAATGTTTCTCAGTCTGTCATAAGCAGGCTATGGTCCAGATACCGTGATACACAATCTGTACAGGACAGACCACGCTCAGGTCGACCAAGGGCGACAACTCAAGCCCAGGATCGATTTATCCGTACCTTGGCCTTGAGAAATCGTGTCATCACAGCAAATCAGATCAGCGCTCGTCTTCAAACAGACACTGGTGTGAGAGTGAGTGGCCAGACGATTCGGAATCGACTGCATAGGGGTCACCTTCGCGCCCGACGTCCTCGCGTGATCCCTTGTTTGAGAGATCATCACATTCAGGCAAGACGTCGTTGGTGTAGGGATCGTCAACACTGGGATAATCGACGCTGGAGCAATGTGATGTTTTCAGATGAGTCAAGGTTCACTGTTGATTTTTTGGACAGACGTAGGAGGGTGTGGCGTCGTCGAAACGAGCGCTTCCAAGACGTTAACGTCATCAGACATGATCGATTTGGGGGTGGTTCTGTTATGGTGTGGGGAGGCATCACTGTTGCTGGAAGAACGGCTTTACATGTTGTTGCAGGGCGTGTTACAGGCCAGTACTACCGGGACAACATCTTGGCAGTCCATGTTGTGCCGTTCGCACGACGTCATGGCCGCCGTTTCATCTTCCAGGATGACAACGCAAGATGTCACAGGGCCAGGATCGTTACAGGTTACCTCCAACAACAGAACATCACCACATTACCTTGGCCAGCACTGAGTCCCGACCTCTCCCCCATCGAGCATGTCTGGGACATGCTTGGACAGAGGTTACGTCAACGTCAACAACGTCCTGCCAATGTCCAAGAACTTGCTGCTGCGTTGCAACAGGAATGGGACAATCTGGACCAAAATGACCTTAGACGTCTCATTAGGAGTATGCCACGTCGGATCAATGCTTGTTTGGCAAACAGAGGAGGATTTACCCGTTACTGACTTGGTTGTGATGCTGTGGTAACTTTGCTGTTTGACCCCGGGTATCATTTTACCCTTATAATGGTCAGTCTGTGCCTTACTTAGTCTAACGATCATTTGGAATAAATCGATGAATGTGAACTTCATTTCATTTTGTCATTTGTTTCTTCGTCAGTTTCATTAGGTGACTTTAATAACACTTAAAAATCAAATATCCCTTACTTTTTTTGAATAGTATAGTAATAGTCAATATATTAAATTTTTATCCCTTCAACGATAACAAAGTTGTCTGAGCAAAAGCGCTGATTAGCGACAACGCCAGGGGCAGATCCAGAGGGGGCAGTTTGGGGTCCAAACCCCACCCTGCTCAGCTACATAAAAAAATGTTATACAACACTTTATGAGAAAAGTGTAACGGTCGTGTGGTTTATACCTTATCATCAGATGGTGAGATGGGATTGGCATTCATAGCGCGAAATAATGATATAGTTTGTGATGTCACAATTAATGCTTTGCATCAATGAAATTGAATAACAATGTGATCCTATTAATTCAATATAAAATTGACATCAAACGGGATGTTGAATTTCTCTCACTGTGTATGTGTGCCTACGTAATTTAGAGACGATGATGGCATCATGCATTGTCAACTGTCAAATATCGATAACAGGAGCCTGGCAAACCCCCTCCTGCAAACATTCCTGAATCCGCCCCTGAACGCCTCTCGAACATAATCGGCTGCTGCAGGAATCAATTTATCGCTTTGATGCTGCTTTGTCAAAAGCCCACCTTCAAATCGTACTTTCGAGATGGAACCAATAGTTTTCTGGAACTGGGGCCACTGAGAGTTTCTTTCATTTGCGAAAATCATATCAACTTTACTTCTTGGTTATGTAACCGAATATAGTTCCCGCCCATCCATAGGCGTACGGACCCGATGGATGTGGGGGAGGGGGGCAGGCCTGAAATACCCGAAAAATTTCCAGTTTACATACCTCCGCCAGTGAGCATTTAAGGCGTGGGGGTTAACGCGTATAGGGGCCTATCCGAAGAAAAAAAATGACGGCCGCATATACGCGTTTTCCTGAATGCAGCAATTTGCCAAGTGGTCTAATATAGCGCTTACGTGCACACCGACGTACACACAGTGCCTCAATGTTTCATCCCATCCGAACGACTATATTGCGTTGTCCCTTGCCCCTCTGTCCTGCGCCATTGACAAGGGGGAACCACGCCGGAAAATCCCAATGAACTTTCTCGCCCAACACAGGGACCTTCAGTTTAGCGATCCATCGTCTTACTGGGCCACTGCAAATGTAAGGTAGTCCAGAGGTAACGGGCTCGATCCCGTTGCTGCCCTAGGGATTTTCCGGTCTGGTTTACTTCGTGAGGAGTGCAAGAAGGAAAACCTGGTATGGAACAGCGTCTGGTCGTGTGAATGGGACGTTGATGTGCACGTTAAACAACCTTGACATGTATTTTTTGCCGAAGAGTGGGCGGGCAGAATTTACCAGTTATATACAAGGATTAGAACGAGCGAGAATTTAACGATAAACTAGATAATAGAGAGTTAGACCATAAGATCTGTCACTGAGTCAAATGGCGTGGTTTCGATTCCTCGCTTGTGTACCTGGTAAGGAGTAGGGTCAAAAATATAATTTCAGCGAGTGTGTTATAGTTGGCCCTGGAACCTGGTGGTTTCGAAAAATGAGTGGACAGTTTTAAACATATTAAGTGAGCTTTCGGTGTCGTCAGTTCCGTGCAGTAAAATATTAGTACCCGTATTTCGACGGGTAGACGGCAAATTGTTTATGGTATATGTATGTTAGGAGCAGTTCAATAAAAAGTGTTCAGTATCTTCAAATTGATGACCACATTTACAGGATGGATTGTCAGAAATATGACGCAAATATTTTAATCCATTTAGATTGCTGCAAGAGAGACGCAGTTTACAATGAATGGTTTGGTTTAAGCAGGACCGCAAGTTAAGAATTGAAAATATTTAGAGATTTTGATTTTTTGTGTCTACGTTTAGATTATCCAATAATCTGTAGCGTCACCGGGCTGAATTCTGGAAAACAAATTTAAGGGGAGAAAGCAATTAGAACATGTGCAATGACAACATATCTTCCAGGAAAACCAAATTGACTTAATCCCCCTCTGAACTAAATGAAATCGAACTAGACTGTCCACCGCCCCCAAGAAAAATCCAGTCAGTAAAACTGTACTCTTCTATTGAGTCAAATCGACCACCACTTAATCCCCAGTGAACTGGACTGTTCAACTGATATCTCCCAAATTGAGAGTCGACCAGTCTGCAACCCGCCACCGCCCTCAAGAACAAATCAATAAGAAAAACCGTACTCTCCTTTTGAGCCACCACTGATTCGCCTGCATTCACCCCTCTGTGTTGTATCTGCCATTCTGCATCTACCAATCTGCATACTGAAAAAGTCTAAGGGAGAGAGAGCAATTAATTTACCCAGGGTTTACTCAAGTCTATGTGGCCCCCGAGGGCAAAAGTTTCAGTGACACAAGTGTCGCCCCCTAGCCTCCCCCCCCCCCCACTATGAGAGGGCCCTTAATTTACTTAATCTCCACTGGACTAGAACTAAATGAACCTGAACTGGCCTAATCAGCTGATATCCCTCGAATTAAAAGCCATCAGTCTGTAGCCCGACACCGCCCTCAAGAAAAAATCAATTAGAAAAACTGTACTTTCCTTTTGAGCCAAATCGTCCGTATAGAGCACCGCTGCCTTGCCTGCATCCGTTCATCTGTGAAAAACAATCTAATGGGAGAGAGCTATTAGTACATGTGCAATAACAATATATTTTCCATGAAAGCCAATTCAATTAATCTCAACTGAACTGAATTAATTTGAATAGAACTGGACTGTTCAGCTGATCCTCAAATTAAGTACTACCATGCTGAAGTCCTTGACCACCCTCAAGAAAGAATCAATCAGAAATACTGTACTCTCCTTTTGAACAAAATCGTCCACACAGACCACCAGTTATCTGGTACATCTCATCTGCCTTGCCAATCTAACTTATCCATTCTGAAAGACCATGAAAAGTCGTTGATCTACACAACTGTCTTGGTCTCCATCAACCCTTCAGTATACACCTGTACAGATTTCTTTGGCAATAAATTTTAAAAAATTCCATTAAAACCGCAAATGAATGTCTGGTCAATTCAGTTTATCAAATAAATATATGGGAATTGCACATTATCTACGGTACAATCATACCACACCAGACGCTTTACCTATATATACAGCTTTAACGTCCGCTCTATATTTACAGGAATAAAATGAAATGAAATGGGGTTTAACGTCCTACTGTTCTGCTCCTAAACTGGGCTAATGAAGACGGACATACGCCATACAGTGTGCTATGAGGGAAATTTTGCCCGGGCAGCGGCGCTACGGCCTACACTTATATCGAATTCCAACTGCCAAAGGATCTTTTACGTGCATTCCAATGTATACACGGGACCTCGGTTTTTCGTCTCATCCGAAGGAATAGACAGCTGTCCTTGTCAGGCCCTCCGTCCTGCATCACTGACAAGGGGGA